GGCTGAATGCTCTCTTAACCAAAGCTCACAGTTTCTCTCAAGGGGACCCCTTCTGTGCCGCAGTCTCCTTTTTCCTGCTATCTGTCCCTTCCCTTCATCATTTTGGGTGTATGGGTGGTAAAACAGCCCCAAGTTACTGTGCTCTGTATCCCTGTTGGTTTTCCTACACTCTGCCCATACCTTTGTAGACAGTCCTTTTGTTAAAATTTCCACTAACTTTACTAATTTGAGCATGCCATCTGTTTCCTGCTAGGACCCTGACTGATACAGATGAAGTCTCAACTTTCAAAGCCTTAGAATACAATAAAATAAGCCTAACATAAAATATTACTAAATATGATTCAGTCTATCTTTCTCTGATTAATCTAGGCTCTTGTAGTGCTTCCAGATAATCATTCTGAACCCCAGTCCACAGAGTATCATAGATGTGTAGAAGTGCCAGTTCATGGAATATTAACAATAGCTAGCACATATTAGTTACTTATTCTTTCCATGCACTGTGCTAAACATGTTTTACATGCATTATTTTATTTAACCTACTCAGCAACCCTATGAAGTAGGTAATGATTTTTTTAAAAAAGTCTTTTTATAGGCGAGGAAACAAAAGCTCAGAGAGATTAAATAGCCTATCAAAGATTTCACAGCTAAGAACACCACAGCCCAGAAAGCTGGGCTGTAAACTCAGGTCTGTGTGACTCCATAGCTCATGTTCTAAACTCAGAGTGTGGTCCTTAGATCAGCAGCATCTGAGAGCTTGTTAGAAAAGCAGAATCTCAAGTTTTACCTCAAAACTCTTGGATCAGAGTCTATTTTAACAAGATCCCCAGAGGATTCACATGCACATGAAAGTTTGAGAAAGCAGCACTCTAAACCATGTTCCTCTGCAGCCTGACTACTGTAGAAAGTCATATTTTACTTGTGCTGAGCAGAAAGAATATTTACTCCAAAAAAATGTGTGGGATACCTGGGTGGCTCAGTGATTGAGCGTTTGCTTTTGGCTCAGGGCGTGATCCCGGGGTCCAGGGATTGAGTCCCACATCGGGATCCCCATGGGGAGCCTGCTTGTCCGTCTGCCTGTGTCTCTGCCTCTCTGTGTGTGTCTCTCATGAATAAATACAATCTTTAAAAAAAAAGAAAGCAAAAAGGTAACTGTGTGAGGTGACAGATATGTTAATTATCTTAGTTGTAGTCATCATTTCACAATGTGTGTGTATATATATATATATATCTCAAAACATCATGATATACACCTTAAATATATATATATATATATATATATATATATATATATATATATATATGAAACTTTATTTGGTCAATCTTACTTCAGTAAAGCTGGAAACAAAAGAATATTTCCCATTCTGCGCTCTTTAATACTGCTTTCCTGGGATGCCTGAGTGGCTCAGTTATTGAGTGTCTGCTTTTGGCTCAGGACGTGATCGAGGGGTATAGGGATCGAGTCTCGCATCAGGCTCCTTGCAGGGAGCCTGCTTCTCCCTCTGCCTGTGTCTCTGCCTCTCTCTCTTCTGTGTCTCTCATGAATAAATAAATAAAATATTTTTTTAAGATTTATTTATTCATTCATTCATTCATTCATGATAGAGAGAGAGAGGCAGAGGGAGAGAAGCAGGCTCCATGTTGGGAGCCCGACGTGGGACTCGATCCCAGGGCTCCAGGATCACGCCCTGGGCCAAAGGCAGGCGCTAAACAGCTGAGCCACCCAGGAACCCCCAAATAAATAAAATCTTAAAAAAATAATACTAATATCCTATTGCCTTCTAGCCAGAGTCTGCAAAGCCAGTGCTATCATTTTTGAGACAAGGGCATTGAGATCCAGTCGGAACCTAACCTGGTGAGAGATGGCAAGAAGCAGCTGGAACTGCTGCTGTTGTAGAAACGAGTGTTTGGACATAGGTTGCTGCCAGGATTCTTTTATGGTTGGACTTCAAACATGTTTTACATATACTTTTACGTGTGCCTTTACAAGCATCTGTGGCTGCTGTTCTGAAGAGACTCCTGAATCTGTATATTCTAGGCTGGTCCTCAGAAAAACTAGTCTTCTCAGAAAGTCTGATTTAATGCCCTTAGGTTCTCCTTTCTACAGTGTTTGCTTCCCACCCCCATCCCTTAGTCACCACCCAATGTCTTTCTTCTTATCCCTTTCTTGTCCCTGTCAATATCTGCTTTAAGAAAGCCTATCAGATCATAAACCCATGAGATGTGCTCTATCTCATTAATTATCAAGGAAATTCAAATTAAAACCACAAGATGGTGCACCTGGGTGTCCCAGTCAATTAAGCATCTGCCTTTAGCTCAGGTCATGATCTCAGGGTCCTGGGATGGAGCCCATGCTAAGCAGAGAGGCTGCTTCTCCCTCTCTCTGTGTGCTTGCTCTCCTTCTGTGTACTCTGTCAAGTAAAAAAAAAAAATCTTAAAAAAAAACCCCACAATATATGACTACACATCCATCAGAGTGGCTAAAATGAGGAAAGACTAATAGTACTATGTATTAATGAAGATTTAGATCGACTGGAACTTTTGTCCACTATTGGTGGTAATGAAAATTGGTGGGGTGCCTGGATGGCTCAATCAGTTAAGTGTCTGCCTTCAGCTCAGGTCATGATCTCTAGATCCTGGGATCAAGCCCCACGTCAGGCTCCCAGATCAGCAGAGAGCCTGCTTCTCCCTCTCCCTCTGCCCCTCCCTCTCTCTCTCTCTCTCTCTCTCTCTCTCAAATAAATAAAATCTTAACAGAAAAGAGAATTGGTACAACAACTACTTTGGAAAACTATTTGGCAATATCTACTAAAGTTGAACTTATGAATGAATGCCCTATGACCAAGTAATTCCACTTGTGGATTATTTATTTATTTATTTTTAAAATTTCAAATATGTTATTTAAAAAATCTTTACCATCATTTACAAAACTCTAGATACATTTCAAAACATCTTTTAGGGACACCTGGGTAGCTCAGCAGTTGAGCATCTGCCTTTGGCTCAGGGCGTTATCCCTGGATCTGGGATTGAGTCCTGCATGGGGCTCCCCACGGGGCAGGGGGGCTGCTTCCCCCTCTGCCTGTGTCTCTGTCTCTGTCTCTCTTTCATGAATGAATAAGTAAAATCTTAAAAAAAATCTTTTAATTGCAGTACCTAGAGAAAGGATTTTACCATCTTGCCTTACTAATGATACAGACTGTCATCAACAAAGGTCTCATGGTTCACTCACGGATTTTTTAAAAAGATTTTTTATTTATTGTTTTGAGAGAGAGAGACAGAGAGCACAAGTAGGGGGAGTGGCAGAGGGAGAGGGAGAAGCAGACTCCCTGCTGATCTGGGAGCCTGACGTGGGGCTTGATCCCAGGACCTAAGGATCATGACCTGAGCTGAAGGCAGACACCTAACCATCTGAGGCACCCACGTGCTGCTCACTCAGGATTTTTAATCGAGAGAAACTCTCCCACATGTGCCCATGCATATACAGATGTCCACTGAAGAATTTTATTTGTAATAGTAAAAAAAAGGAAAACAAACTAAATGACCATCAATGGAATGAATATATAAATTATGGTGTATTCATCTGATAGATTTCCATAAAGCAGTTAAAATGAATTATAACTACATGTAGAACGTAGAACTCCAGCAAAATTGCATCAAAAGCATACTGTTGAGGAAAAATTAGCATAAAACTCCATATTATTATATTTATGTCAAATATAAGAACACAAAACAATATCCTAGAATGTTTATGGTATATGCAATAATAAAAAGAGAAAAGTCCTCACTAAATATTTGCATGTACACCCCCTACCCACCCCCAGAGCCATTTACTTGTATAACTAGGATGAGAAGCCAGTATTCCTTCTTCTTTTTCCTTTTTTTCTCTTTATTTAAAACTTTATTTGTAAAAAAAATAAAAATAAACCTTATTTGTAAAGCAACTTAATGTTCACAGTAAAATTGAGGGGAAGGTACAGAGATTTCCCATATTCCTTATTCTTAAGTTAAGTAATGGAGGCCTCAAACTCCAAAGGATCTATACAGTTAATAACATAAGCTCCCTGTCTCCAATAGCTAGGCCTTGTGTTGCTGACACTACATTATGGGAGCCTAGTGAGTTTGAGAGATCTATAGGGTTGACTGTCTCTTAATCCATGAAGGCAGGGGACAAAGTTGCAATAAGCTTTTTCTTCTGCATCCTCACCCTCTGTCTACTGGCCACAACTGCTGAGTTTGACCTGCTTAAGGGTATCAGTAAACAGCGTAATATGAAACACTAATAAGTAGGTGACTGTTCCAACCTCAAGCTGAACTCCTCCAGCATTTCACTTGCCTTATTTGACTAGCTCTGGCAGTAGCTACTGTACACAAAGCCCAATCCAGAGAGCAGAAAAGCTATAAATACTCTCCAGTGTAATTAAAATGAACTATTGGCAGAGTACTTGAATCAAAATCGTAAGGCCTGAACAACACAGGTTTTAATGGTAAGAGCTTACAGGGTATTTAGGAGAAACAGAATTCATGAAAATGAAAGGCAGTACCTGGTCCCTGTTCTCCCTGACCTACTGTGGTTACTTTTTTTCTCAATTACTTAGTAATTGGCTTTAAATTCCCCAGGCTATTAAGACCTTGAAAATCTACCAGAGGGGTATATGAGATAGAATAAGATAGAGTTTTAGAAGGGCAGGGAAAAAAGAAAAGAGGAGACTCTTGAGTAGGTTAATTTCCATTCTTTGATGTTGGAATTGACAGCCACCCTGCCTCTTTTGGGTATTTGATCTAGTAATCTTAAGAGCCTTAAAAGATGTGGTTTGGGTTCTAGTCCCATCACCACCACTTACTAGCCTTGTATCCTCGAGCAAATTAATTTTCTTTGAACTTCAAGTACCTCATCTATAAAATACTACTGTTTACTTAATATTGTCATTGAGGTATGTAAAGTGCTTAGCTTGGCCCATGGTAAGAGCTCAATAAATTAATGATGACCATTCTTGTTCTGACAGCGTCATGGAAGCAAAGGAGGAGAGCATTTCTTGTAGGAGAGGGAGATCTGCCCTATATAATGCCAAATGCAACAGAGAGGTCAAGGAGAATGAAAATTGAGAAAAGCCAAGGATTTTGACTATTAGAAATGCAGAATGAGGGACACCTGGGTGGCTCAGCAGTTGGGCATCTGCTTTCGACTCAGGGCGTGATCCCGGAGTGCTGGGATTGAGTCCCACATTGGGCTCCCTTCATAGTGCTTGCTTCTCCCTCTGCCTATGTCTCTGCCTCTCTCTGTATCTTTCATGAATAAATAAATAAAATCTTTAAAAAAAAGAAACGCAGAATGACATGTACACTTATCTTCTGAACTCCTTTTACTCAAAATGGGAATCAGTTTAAAAAGGAAATCTATCACTTTTTGCAGTCTGGATACATATCTACTTTAACTTTAGAGCAAACATTGCTTATAGGGAGAATATATAAGAAAGCAGCTGTGACAGCCATAAGCAGACTCTTGCCATGCTGTCCATTAGAATTTTCTGTGATGTGGAAATGTTCTCTGTGGCTGCTAAACACTTGAAATGTGGCTAGTGTAACTGAGGAACTGAAATTTTAACTTTATTTAATCTTAATTCATTCCAACTTAAATAGCCACATGTGGATAGTGGCTGCAGTCAGTCTAATTGAAGAAGCAAGGCATATACTCTTGAAACCATTAAATACCAAAAGGATTGTGGCCAGACAGTAGAGACTTAATTATTCAACAAGAGATTGATACCTTTCTGGGATGGAGAATTTAAGGAGAGTCTTATAGAGTAGGTGAAACTTGGGCTTGACCTTGAAGGATATATAGTATTTGGATAGTAGCAGGAAAGAAGGCAGGAGGTCACTCCAGATGGGTTGGAGGGGGTAGGCAGAAATTTAGAGTTAGAAATGCCTCCTATATGAGAAGTTGGAGGACAGTGGCTATTCTACAATAGAGCTTTTATATTAGGAGTTAGGTGGGTTTGGGCCAGGTCACGGACAGCCTTAAATCCTATAATAAGGTATGTGGGCTTTGTCCACATAGGCCAGTGTTTTTACAAAGCTTGCTTAAAACATGGATTCCCAGGCCTCACCCTGACCTACTAAATCAAATTTTCAGGGTTTCAGCTTAGGAAATCAGTATTTTAAGGAAGCTCCTCAGGTGTGTATGCTGCACATTCAAGTTTAAGATCTATTAGGTAAAAAAATAATAAAAATAATAAGATCTATTAGGTAGGCAGAAGGGAGCCCTTGGGAACTTTTGGTCAAAGGAGTGATGTGATGACAGAGGTATCACAGGAAGCTTGATAAAGTGGGAAAGTGTAGGATATAGAAACTAGGTAAGGAAATCAGTTAGGTGACTGTTAAAATAGTTCAGATATGAATTTCACAAATGCAGACTTCTTTCTGGCTTGTATCTTTGGAACTTTGAAATTGATCCCTAATATTTCCTATATTTGAATTTTCCACACAATTTGTTTGCTGTTTGAAATGACTACGGCCCAGGCACCAGAGCCTGGCTTCCTGGGTTCAAATCCCAGCCCTACAACCTAAGCTGTTTTAGCTTAGAGACACTCCTTAATTTCTCTGTGCTTCAATGTCCTTATTCATAAGCTGGAGATGATCTTAGTGCCTATATCATAAGTACATTGTATTAAATGAGATCATAAATAGCTTACAACAGTACCTGGCATATAGTAAGCACTCAAAATTGGTGTTAATATTATTTAAACTAAAAATTAGCTCTTTTAGTTTATTATGATTTGTATAATAGTTAAAGCCAAACAGATGCATCTCACAAAAAAGTGTCAAATTTGCCCACTTATAATATTAAAACCAAGCCCTATACTTTTTGCTTATTGAGTTATATTTCAAAGCTTCATTCTTCACTTAATTTAACATATGGTCATCCTTCATAAAATAAATCTAAATAGATGACAAATTGTTCTTCTCACTGAATGTGTTAATCTATGGTTAGTTCCTGGCTATGAATTATATATATCTTTGTACTTTTTAAGTTGTTGCTAGCTTTCAATGAATGCTGTTTATAATATTTATTTGAGAAAAAGAATGACTTCTATTTGTTCTTCTAGGGGGCTGATGATTAAAAAAAATTTGGTTTCTTGGGCAGCCCAGGTGGCTCAGCAGTTTAGCACCACATTTGGCCCAGGGTGTGATCCTGGAGATCTGGGATCGAGTTCTGCATTGGGCTCCCTGCATGGAGCCTGCTTCTCCTTCTGCCTGTGTCTCTGCCTCTCTCTGTGTGTCTCTCATGAATAAATAAATAAAATCTTTTTTTTAAAAAATTGGTTTCTTGTCTGGGTATATGGCCTAGTATTAGTGACCCTATGATGTACTGTGACATGCAGCAACAGCTTTTTGAAGGAATGAGAAACTCTTATGTGCCCTACTTGGTAGTTTGTGAACTCCTGGCTACTGTGAACTTCTGGCTTCACTTTTCTTTCAGGCCTCACCTGAACAGAAGCTTCTCCTAGGCTCTCCAGTTTCCTTTGACAGTTAGCTGCTTGAAGCAACTCTCAAGATACACCTTAAAGTCTTGAGGGCAGAGAGGGAAGCAAACAGTAAAGACCCGTGATAACCACCTAAACACTTCTGAGACAGGCTGAGCAAAAAAATTGCCTTCGACTCTTCTTTTTTCTTTCAGAAACAAAGTCACTCCTAACTTTGTTCACTTAAATTCTGTTAGATGGTTGAAAAAGATAGGTCTGGGCACATGGGTGACTCAATCGGTTAAATGTCTGCCTTCAGCTCAGGTCATGATCCCAGGGTCCCGGCATCAAGTCCTGCATTGGGCTTCATGCTCAGCAGGGAGTCTGTTTTTCCCTCTCCACCTACCCCCTGCTTGTGCTCTCTCTCAAACAAATAAAAATCTTAAAAGAAATAAAAATAAAAAAAAGAAAAAGATGGGTCTGGGACATGATGGGCTAAGGTTCTTTTTATGTTTTGAACAGATAAATACATTTTTTCTCTATCTCCCTAGTTGTACATTTCCCTTTCCTTGAGTCAGTCAATGCTACCAGTTTTCTTGTGTATCCTCCCAGAGATACTCTATGTATATTTGTATACATACACCCTTAATGTTTATACAAATCATACCATACCATAAATACTATTCTGCACCTTGCTTTTTTTCACTTAATCTATAGAATACTGTTTCATAACAGTACTTAAAGAGCTTCCTATGGCTGCATGACTGCACAGTATTCCATACTTACTGTAGATATAGCAGAATGTATTTAAGCAGTCCTTTGTTGGTAGATGTTTAGGTTTCACTCAGTCTGTGGCTATTATAAACATGCTTATATATATTATATTTCACATGTGAGAGTACATCTCTAGGACTCTAGGAGAAATTGGTCAGAGCACTTTGGTCATTGCCTTGTTCAGTTGCTTGATAGCTACAAAACCACAGTACTGTGTGTGGAATCAGAGATTCTAGGAGGCCTAGCCATGCCTAACTACACCAGTGTCATAGGATGGTAAGCTAGAAGGGATCTTAGAGATCCCAGAGAGCGCCAAGATCACACAGAGATTTAGAAGCAGATCCAGAATTAAAACCAGTTTTTGACTCTAGTCCATAATGTAACTCTTTTTACTACACACTACTGTCAGATTTGGCATGGCCTGATTCCTGTCCTAACAGGCAGAACTGTGCATTATCTGGCCCTCTGTGATCTCACTAACCTGTCTTTACCTGATTTCTCTTTCCAGGGTCTGACATTGCCAGCCTAATTTACCCTACTTTTCCTGCTGCTGTGACTTCTTCCACTAATAATAATTCCATCTTATAAAAATTTTTAATTAGAACTAAAGTTTTTTTTTATGGTTTGGGGACTCTTTAGAAGTAAAGCCAAGTAGAAGAAGCAAGAGTGCTGGGAAGGTAATCTGGCAATGGCACTAAAGATTCATGATCATAACTGTTGCTTTCTGCTCTTAGCTTGTCCATTGACTCATCATATAGTCTGAGGTGGGGGGCTCTTTCTCCTCTTGGCCCTGTTGGAATATCTCCTTTCCTTGGCCATAAGGTTGAACCCTTCAAGGTCCAACAAGTGCATAATGTGCCCAGTAAGAAAGAAAATGAAAGTGTATGCAGATAGTTTAATTTTTATTGAATTGTACTAAGGAGCAAACTACAGGTGAGATTTTTGTTTACATGTAAGTACCATATGATACAGCATTTTACTTACATATATGTACCCTATGTGAATTAAAAACACAGATTTATGCAAAAATGTATATATGAATATTCCTAGCTGTACTATTCATACTAGCCAAAAAGTGAAAATAACCCTATGATGGTTAATTTCACGTGTCAGCTTGGCTAGGCTATGGTGCCCAGTTGTTTGGTCAGAGAGCAATCTAGATGTACTGTGAAGGTATTTTTTTTATATGTGATTAACATCTAAACCAGTAGACCTTGACTAAAACAGATTATCCTCCATAAGGTGCATGGGCCTCATCAAATCATCTGAAGGCCTTATGAGTCTGCCTTCAGATTGCAACATAGGAATTCTGCCTGTTTCTTTGAATGACACACTGCCAGATATATTTAACAGATATATTCAGAACATTACATCTTAATACAGCAGAATACATATTTTTTCAAGTGCACATAGAGCATTCTCCAGAATGTTCACATATTAGACCACAAAATAAGCTTCAACAAATTTAAAAATATTGAAGTCATACCGTGTATCTTTTCTGACCACAATGCTATAAAATTAGAAATCAAGCACAAGAAAAAATCTGGAAAGACCACAAATACATGGAGGTTAAATAACATGCCACTAAACAATGAACGGGTCAACCAAGAAATCAAAGAAGAAATAAAAAATTACATGCAAACAAATGAAAATGAAAACACAATGATCCAAAATCTTTGGGATGGAGCAAAAGCAGTTCTAAGAGGGAAGTTTATAGCAATACAGGTCTACCTCAAGAAGCAAGGAAAATCTCAAATAACCTAACCTTACACCTAAAGGAGCTAGAAGAAGAAGAATAAATAAAACCCAAATCCAACAGAAGGAAGAAAATAATAAAGATTAGGTCAGAAATAAATAATATAGAAACTTAAAAAACAATAGAACAGATCAGTGAAACCAGGAGATGGTTCTTTGAAAAAGATCAACAGAATTGATAAACCTCTAGTCAGACTCATGCGAAAAGAGAGAAAATCATCAATGAAAGAGGAGAAATAACCAATACTACAGAAATACAAATAATTATAAGAGAAAATTATGAAAAACTATATGCCAGCAAGTTGGGCAACATAGAAGAAAGGGATGAATTCCTAGAAACATACAATCTACTAAAGCAGAAGCAGGAAGAAGTAAAAAAAAAAATTGAAAAGACCAATATCCAGCAATGAAATTGAATACATAATTTAAAAACTTCCAACAAATAAAAGTCCAGGAGGAGACCGCTTCACAGGTGAATTTTGCCATTTAAAAAAGAGTTAAAAAAATAAAAAATAAAAACGAGTTAATACTGGGACGCCTGGGTGGCTCAGTGGTTGAGCATCTGCCTTTGGCTCAGGGGGTGATCCCAGAGTCCCGGGATCGAGTCCCACATCGGGCTTCCTGCATGGAGCCTGCTTCTCCCTCTGCCTGTGTCTCTGCCCCCACCCCTGTCTCTCATGAATATAAACAAACAAACAAACAGTTAATACCTATTCTCAAGCTATTCCAAAAAATAGAAGAGGAAGGAAAACTTCCAAATTCATTCGATGAGGCCAGAATTAACCTGATTCCAAAACCAGAAAAAGACACCACAGAAAAAGAACTATAGGCCAATATCTCTGATAAACATAGATACAAAAATCCTCAACAAAATACTAGCAAATTGAATCCAACAATACATATAAAAGAATCATTCACCACAATCAAGTGGAGTTTATTCCTGGGATACAAGATTGCTTCAATATTTGCAAATAAATCAATGTGACACATAATAAGAGAAAGGATTAAAAATGATCATTTTAATGCAGAAAAAGCGTTTGATAAAGTACAACATTGATTCATGATAAAAAAAAAAACTTTCAACAAAGTAGATTTAGAGGGAATATACCTCAACATAATAAAAGCCTTATATGAAAACCCCAAAGCCAACATTATCCTCAATGGGGAAAAACTGAGAGCTTTTCCCCTAAGGTTAGGAACAAGACAAGAATATCCGTTCTCACCACTTTAATTCAATATAGTGCTGGAAGTCCTGGCCACAGCAATCAGACAAGAAAAGAAATAAAAGGCATCCAACTTGGTAAGGGAGAAGTCACACTTTCACTATTTGCAGATGACATGATACTACATATAGAAAACCCAAAAGAGAGGAGGGGCAAGATGGCGGAAGAGTAGGGTCCCCAAATCACCTGTCCCCAACAAATTACCTAGATAACCTTCAAATCATCCTGAAAATCTACGAATTCGGCCTGAGATTTAAAGAGAGACCAGCTGGAATGCTACAGTGAGAAGAGTTGGCGCTTCTATCAAGGTAGGAAGACGGGGAAAAAGAAATAAAGAAACAAAAGGCCTCCGAGGGGGAGGGGCCCCGCGATGAGCCGGGCTGAGGCCGGGGCGAGTGTCCCCAGGACAGGAGAGCCCCGTCCCGGAGAAGCAGGAGCTGCACCAACCTTCCCGGGCGGAAAGGGGCTCGCAGCGAGTTGGAGCAGGACCCAGGAGGGCGGGGATGCCCTCGGGCTCCCTGGGACACTAACAGACACCTGCACCCCGAGGAGAGCGCCGAGCTCCCTAAGGGCTGCAGCGCGCACGGCGGGGCCCGGAGCAGCTCGAAGGGACTCGGGAGCGGCTCCAGGGAGGGGGCTGCAGGGCGGGAGCGCGAATCCAACAGCGCAGGCCCCGGAGCACAGGGCGCCGGGACACAGGCCAGGATCCGGCCTCCCCCGGGACAGGCAGAGGCCGGGAGGGCCCAGGACAGCAAGGACGCTCCTGCCCCGAGCTGAGCAGATCAGCGGCCCCGCCCCGGAGCCTCCAGGCCCTGCGGACAGAGAGCCCCGTAGTTACTGTGGGGGCTGAATCCAGGCTTCCAGAGCTGCTGTAACAACTGCGGCTGTTCCTCCTGGGGCCTCACGGGGTAAACAACCCCCGCTGAGCCCTGCAGCAGGCAGGGGCAGAGCAGCTCCCCCAAGTGCTAACACCTGAAAAGCAGCACAACAGGCCCCTCCCCCAGAAGACCAGCTGGACGGACCAGTTCCAGGGAAAGT